TCTTTGGAAATATACACAAAGTTACACTCTCATGCTCACTGTGTAACGAATCTATATTTATTATTAATTATACTATTTTTTTTTCTTTCTCTCTTTGGAAATATACACAAAGATATACTTTCATGCTCACTATTAAACCTGGGCACGGGCCGAGTTGGCCCGCGTGCCGCCCGGCACGGCCCGCCGTTCGGCGCAGCCCGGCACGACCCGAAGTCAAGCACGACACGGCACGAAGTTCAACTCCCGTGCCACGGACAGGGTTGAGAATTCCCAGGCACGACCCGGCACGAGCACGGGTATGGCCCGCCGTGCTGGCCCGCAGGCACGACCCGTAGGCACGGCCCGCGGGCCAACGGTAATGTTACCGTTTCATCTAGCTCTAATAAGCCAAAAAAACGGCTATAAAACGGCTAGTTTTTTGCCAATTTGCTCCCCAAAAATTCTATAAATACTCACCTCCATTTCATTCCCAAATCACAAAATCACAATCTCTTCTTCTTATCTCTTATATTCTCTAAATCTCTAATAATCCTTATTTTCTTAAATTCTCTAATTATTCTCTTAAATTCTCTAATTATTTTCCTAATATCGGAAAAAATTAAAAAGTTCGTAATCGTAATTAGTGGAGCGTTGAAGCACGGTTGTAAGATCTAAACTAATCTTAAATTTATTATTGTTTTATTGTTATTATTAGAATAATCTTGTTTAATTATTATTGTTGTTAATTGTTATTGTTGTTGTTTTAATTGTTGTTATTAATTATTATTATTGTTACAATTGTTGTTATTATTTATTTTTGTTGTTATTGTTATTGTTATAGTTGTTGTTATTAATTAATATTATTGATATTTTTATTGTTAAAATTGTTGTTATTAATTATTATTATTATAGTTAACCACTTTTTATTAAAAAATTAATTGTTAATTATGGCATCGAACAACCCATCATCTAGGTCTAGGGGGAAAGGCCGACTTATCCGTAGTAGTAGTTCTAGGGAACCACCAAATACAACGAGCCCCCAAATTACGAGTCAAACCAATGATCCTATTTACTTCCCCCCGGGCTATGAGCCATATAATACGTCGGGATTTCCAGCACCACCACTAAACCATTTTCCACTACCACCATACCAATTTCCACCTAATTATATCGGTGATCAACAAAACTATTGTTCTAGCCAAGGTAGCCAAGAAAGTACCCGAATTCCCTCCGGTTCTACCCCTTCTACTGCCACTCCCACTAGTCTCACTACTAACCATCACACACATCATGAATGGTTAACCGAAACTGAGATGCTACTTTTGAAAAACCGAAGGAGTGAGGTATGGCGTTATTTTGTCCTAAGTAAAGATGGTGAACAATGGGCAAAATGTAAAACATGTAATAGTGTATTCACGGCAGTTACCAAAAACGGGACGGGACACTTATCTAGACACATGAAAGCTTGTGCAAAACCAGCTAGTGATCCAACCCAGCCCAAAATTTCCCAATTCCATCCATACGGCTTTACATACAACTATGAGAGAGATAGGGATGAACTAGGAAAAATGATAGTACACGCCGAACAACCTTTTCTTTTCTTTGAAAGTGACGCATTCAACACCTACATTAACAAAGCACTACAACCCCAACATAAAAGAATCTCTAGGAAAACCGTTCGTTCCGCCGCAATGAAAAATTTCCTAGAGTACAAAGTCCGGTTACAAGCCGAATTGAGTAACCTTAACTGTAGAGTATCTTTAACAGCCGATTCTTGGGATAGTGGTTATAAATATCACTATTTATGTGTGACTTTCTATTGGGTAGATGATCAATGGATGTTACAAAAAAGAATAATACATTTCAAAATGCTGGAATACCCACACACCGGCATTAACATTGCTCACCATTTAATGCAAGCAATAGACGAATACAACCTTCGAGATAAAATGATGTCTATGACTTTTGATAATGCAACCTCTATGACATACACAACTAATCTTATCAAACAAAACTTAACCGATGTACTATTAGACGGTGAAGCTCTTCATACTAGATGTGTTTGCCATGTACTTAACTTATGTGTACAGGATGGAGTTCGGGCAATTGACCCAAACTACAGCAAAATCAGAGATGCTATTATGTCTATTAATAGCTCTAACATGAGATACCAAGAATGGAAGAGTTTTCTAAAACAACAAAAGATAAGGGTAATAAAAATTAGAACCGATTGCCCAACTAGGTGGAATTCCACCTATGACATGTTAACAAAGGAAATTGAGTACAAGGGCCCGTTAACATTATTTTACAACCAAAAATTTCCACAAAATGCTTTGTATGATGATGATTGGAAAAACTGTGAAAGATATATGCAATTTTTACAGTTATTATATAACATGACGTATTGTTTTTCTACTGTTTACAATCCTTGTGCAAAAAACTTTCTTTCTAATGCATGCTTACTCGCCCAACTTTTCGCTGATCATCGCCATCAAAGTGATTATGATCAGTATCTTCCAGCAATGGAAAAAAAGTGGCGTAAATATTATAGTGAAATTCCTTTGATTTATATTTTTGCTTCCATATTAGATCCTAGGCAAAAGTATGAAAACACATTTATGTTAGTTGACATTTACTTTCAGTGCATGTTTCTTGACGATGATGTAGAAAACTATAAGACTAATGTGAAGGATCAGTTTTTTGCTTTATATAGAGTCTATGAAGCCAAATATGGCACCGTTCCTCGCTCAGGGCCTTCCCAACCATCCAAAAACGTAAGTAAGAAGGCCAAACATTTATTTTCACAAGCTACTAACTTGATTTCAAGGTTTTCAGGTGATTCATCAATCAGGAGAGCGCAAAGCGACGTCTCGGAGTTGCAGATGTACCTGAGTTACGACTTCACCAAAGGCATGGACGACGATGAGATAAACAGCCTCGACCTCCTTGCATGGTGGAAACAACAAAGCTCGAAGCATCCAACTTTGGCGGCAATGGCACGAGACATTCTTGCTATCCAAGTTTCCTCCGTCGCCTCCGAACGAGCTTTCAGCGCATCCGGAAGGGTTTTAGACGATAGAAGAACAAGTCTAAAACCCGAAACACTAGAAATGTGCGTGTGTTTCAAAGATTGGTTGGATGCGGAAAATCGCTCACAAGACCGTTCTTACGACCACAACGACAACGAAGAAGGAACCTCCGCTTCCGGTTCGGGTTCGGCTAGTTCCCAATCTATGCAACTAGCCGATGACCTTGAAGGCGAAGGCGAAGGCGAAGACGAAGACGAAGACGAAGACGAGCAAGAAGAAGGAGAAGAAGAATAGACAATTATTGTATATTGTACGATTTTAAAAATATCAATTTTATCATTTTCCAATTTTTGTTTAATACCATCATTGTATGATTTTTATCATTGTTATCATTGTACAATTTTCTCAACTCAAGTAATAATAATATAAAGTACGCATTATTCACATCCAAAGTCCAATTTGCCTTTTTTCCCCGTTTTGTTACAATTTGTAAATTCATATTAAAAAAAAATAAAATTATACCAATTACTAATAAATCATAAACATTAAATTTTACAGTAATAGTATAAAGTAAATATATAAATATAAATATTGAATATACAAATTATAAAACATAAATATTCAACTTATAATTATAAAATTCATAACTTAATAACTTATAACTTATAAGTTATAAACTTATAAGTTACCTTATAAAACTTATAATTATAATTTTATAAATTATATACATTATAAACTTATTAATTTATAATGTTGTCATATAAAAAAAAAAAATAAAAAAATAAAAAAAAAAAAAAATTATTTGAAAACTGCACCAGCCCGCAGGCCGGCACGTGGCCGGCACGGCACGAGCCCGCCAGGCACGAGGGCCGTGCCGTGCCGTGGGCTGGCCTGTGAAAATGGCCGGCACGACACGGCACGAAATCCTGGGCCCGCCGGCACGACCGGCACGGCACGAACCAGCCCGTGGCCCGCCAGGCACGGCCAGCGGCGGCCTGGCACGGCACGGTGCCCAGGATTACTCACTATGTAAGGAATCCATATTTATTATTAATTATACTATTGTATTATTTTTGTATTGGAAATATACACTCTCTCCCATGACTAGGGATAACAGAGATAACATACAATGTTACATATTTTTTTGGTGTTTAGAGATCCACAAAAGGGGTGATGAGAATTGATATCAAGATATCCCGAAATCGGGAAAGAAGCTCTAACCCCTTAAGCTATCCCTTACTCTCATACAATGTTACACGTAAAATTCACTAATATTAGTTGGTTAAAGTATTCGAAACCAGGAAAACCAAAAAACATTACATCAAAGTATCAACTTTGAAAAGGGTAAAACTTTCTGGGAAGATTGATACATTGTTCTTCTATTTTCCTAGACTAGATAACTCATGGACCACACAAGTAAGAGATGAATATCGTATAACTAGTTTATTAATGGATTAATAGGTCCAAGCTCCAAAAACATGTTCCTCTTCCGCCACTTAAGATTAAACCGCGTCTTCAACAGGATACCTTATTTCTTTTTTATTCCCATGTCCTTGGTGCTTCAAAAGTTATTAAGACTCACTAATATATCTTAATCTTTGTTATGATTTATGCATTTGTACATTTTAAACCCTTTAACATAAATAGAACACTAAAAATCAAAGATTTTTTTTCGACGTCGATGTCCAATTGGTTGCCAAAGAATGCCATACATCTATAACCCAATGTTGAAAAGTTTAATCTACTAAAATGACATACTAAAAAACATGTAGTTGCTAGGAAGGTCACTCTGTAATTGTTAGCGTACATAGATTAGTGCCCCACATTGAAGCTCCACTGACTAAGATGATCATTTTACAAAAGCTTGAGTAACTATACATATATATATATATATATATGGATCTCTATATATATATGATGTCATTGTTTTGTATGTTGATAATTGTATGTGATAACTAGTCTAAAAACTAATTTACTTGTATAATAACATTTATGGAAGATAACAACACTTATGTTCGATCAGGAGGAGGCATTTCTTCAGAATACAGGGGAGTAAGGAAGAGGAAATGGGGTAAGTGGGTGACAGAGATACGCGAGCCAGGGAAGAAGACGAGGATATGGTTGGGGAGTTTCGACACCCAAGAGATGGCAGCCATTGCATACGACGTAGCTGCATTTCATCTCAGAGGACGTGGTGCTGTCCTCAACTTTCCAGAGCTGGCAGACGAGTTACCTTGTCCTGCCAGCTCTAGAGCAGAGGATATTCGCAGGGCGGCTCAGGATGCTGCAGCTGCCCTGCAAACAAGGGGTTGTCTAAACCCCTATAACATGCAAGTTGCACAGGCGACTGCCCAATCCTCGTATGCCTCATCCTCGTCCCCAATGAGGGTTGGGCTGTCGCCTATGCAAATCCAAGCTATCAACGAGTCTCCCTTGGACTCACCACAAATGTGGTCTAGCATGACAGACACTCATATGTTCGATGACCCTTTCGTCTATAATAATGATTTTAAAATGGTGGGTGGCTGGGAGGATGAAGTTCCGGATGACTCCCTATGGGATTAACTAATTCCTTACGTCGTGAATTAAGGTGGGAATTGCAAATTTTTGTGCTATCCACCAATTGCTGGATAACAGTTACTAATACTTTTATTATTATAATTATTATTTCAATTTTCATTGATTCCATTGGTATCTAGTAATCGCTAATTTATAGATTGGTTTGTATTGATTAAACGATCGTGTTAGTTTCATGCAACGCTCACAAGAGGCTTGCTGTTGCATGAAGCCATCAACTAACCAGAAGATGTCTTCTGGTTGTTGATATCATATTACTATATTTCCTGAGTGTTTTGTCTAGTGGCCTTATTTTTTTTTAATAATTGAATTATTAGTGGATTGCGTTTTAATACAACCTCTTTAATTTATCATAATTTTTTTTAGTATGACCCATTGTAATTTTTTAAGAATTTTAGTGGCATACTTTTGGAACGTGTTAGTTCCATTACAGTACTGTACTTTCCTATTGTGGTAATAATATCATTGTAGTAACAATTACAAAATTTAATTTTGCAAAAATATATATTTTACATATAGATGGTGCGTTGCTATTTGTTCTGTTGGAAGGGAAAAGGCAAGCTATGGTGTCATTGGTGCGCAATTACGTGCTAAACACATGTTACTTGCAGTTATACCAAGTAATGAAGTAATTTTTGTAAAAGGTAATATGGTACCTTTATTTTGAGGGAAAGATAGATCGATCATTTATTATACGGAAACGTTTCAATACAAACTTTTTCAATACTACTATCAATATCCCACCTAGCAATAAAATAACATACATTATTACATGCTCTTCTAACATGAGAAAACTTAACAAACTCAAAGAAGTAACTATCGCTCTTGATGTCTACAAAAATTAGGTGGATGGGTGATATATTCGCTCAGGTCTAAACCATTTAAAGCATTGATAATTTTTTTTAATTTTTTTATTATTATTTTTTTGACGGGAAAGCATTGGCAATGTTAACAGCATTAGTTTCCACCCATGTGTGTCTATAGCCCAGTGCCAAAGCCAAAGACGAGGGCTAGGGCCCCCGCCATTGCCATGGCCACAGTCTCACGCCAGTCGCACTGCAAGGCCATGGCTAGTCCCGAGTGCGAGCTTCCACCTATTGTGTTAGACTTTCCTAGCAACCCCTCGGCCCGATCTCGCAAGGGCGGGACATTCTAAGAAGGTCCTAGTAACCTCTCAACCACACCCTTGGTGGAACCATGGGCATGAGAATGGCCCATGGGGCCATTATTGTATTTCTGTCAGTTGGGTGTTCATTGTTATTACTTGGCTAAATTAATATAAAGCTCTTTAGGGGGCAAGTGCTCACTCATGGGTTGATGGCTGACCTTGGGTAGCTCCATGGTTAAGGGCCATGGGCATAGCCTTGGACATAGAATAGCCTATGAGGGCTAGGGCACGGTGGGATTTGGCTAAGGGGTTGACTTGAGCTACGGCTTGGACAAAACCGGTGCACCATGTCTTAAACACGGTGGCCAAGAGTTACTAGACTTCGGGAGTTAGGTATAACTTAGTGTGGTTGATATCCATAGTGAACCCTATTTATAGAGGTCATGGATGAGGTAGTTACTCGACGGTTACTTGGATGGCTTAGTGGGGGACGTGGGCTGACGGTTACACCCTTTGAATTTAGTGGGGATAGTGGGTGATGGTTACCATGGAGTAGTAACCGCTCATCAGTTGAGATGCATAATGATGACGTGGTAGTCACTCCTTGAATTTAGGAGGGTTATGTAGTGGGAAGTGGGCGGTTATGGTAACCACCCACGTAGCCCACTACTCCTAGATTGATGGACGGTTATGCAATGGTGTGCAATGCAGTTACTTTGTAGTGGGTAGTTACCACGTAGTGGGGAGTTACTCCTATTTGAATTGGTCGGGATGTGGCCAGCCCTTGAGTAGTATAAATAGAGGACTTGCCCTAGTTGCTGGACATTTACTCATTTGGGCACTTTACCTTGTATTGTACTCTCGTTCTCAAAGTAATAAAAGTATGCTTGTGTTTGCTCTCGTTATTGCTTGTGTTGCTTAGTTCTTAGTGAAAGGCTGGTCTAGGCTTTATCTAGGCGCCATCACGGGAACCTCTTAGGTCCCTAACTTAGAAAAAAAAAGTTAGTCCACAAAAAATCCTGTGACAATTTGGTTCGACCTGGCCAAAAAGCAAAGTACCTTACCTTTGCCATGGCTAGAAGTAAGTCAACCAAGGCTACTGATGTTCCTACAAAGTCAACGGCTCAAAGCAAGGAGGTCCCTAAAGCGAACACCGTTGGTGACACTCGCACTCCTCCTGCTTCATCTCCTTTCTCTCCCTTGGAAGAAGGGGAAGAACAACCCCACACACCGAACTGGAAGCATGTGAATCGTCGTGTGGTGGAGATGAATGCTGAGTTGCCTTTGATGAAGGAACGCATGGGTTCCATTGAAGAGTCTTTGGAAGCCACTCGTAAGATGCAATCTGAGATGCTTAGAAAGTTGGACACTAACTCTAGTGGGGAGGTTGAAGACACTAACTCTAGAGAAAGTTCGACACTAACTCTAGTGGGGAGGTTGAAGACCTTCGTCGGGAAATTGAGAACCTACGAAAGAGAAGGGCTGAACCCTTCAAGCTGAAGATTTAAACCCTTCTCGGGTGATAGGAATACGAAGGATGTGGAGAACTTCCTGTGGGACATTGAGCATTACATACTTTAGGGTTGTTCATGTTCCGGACCATGACAAGGTCTCGGTTACTACCATGTACCTTGTTGGGGACGCTAAGCTGTGGTGGAGATCTCGCGTGGAGCTTGATTGAGTTGCTGGAAGAAATCCCATCCAAGAGTGGGCCGTGCTAAAGAGAGAACTCAAAAATCAGTTCCTTCCCAACAATGCCTCTTGGCATGCTCGTGAAGCCTTGAAGAGCCTTCACCAATCTGGGTCCGTTCGTGACTATGTAAAGGAATTCAGTTTAGTGATGCTGGATATCAGGGACATGTCTGAGGAAGATAAGATTTTTAATTTTGTTTATGGTTTAAAAACTTGGGCTTTAATTGAATTGCGTAGTGTAGACACCCAATCGTGTCTCCCCAAAAACCAAACCTAGCGATGAGTACCTGTCACGTTTTGATTAACGAGTTCGGTAAGGAGTTAAAGAGTCACGTGAAATTTCTTTAAGCCTTGACCATATTCCTAGCCTTATCTAAAATGTTTTAATCCAAAATCATCCATTTCTTGCCTTTAAACCCAAAATCATTCATTTCATGTTCAAATCATAAAAAGTCCAAACCTGATAAGTTGTTAGTCCAATTATTGCTTAGTTTTATGGGTATTGAAAATATCTTTCCAACGATATATTGGAAGCCCAAATCCGACTTAAAACGAATAAGTTATGACCAAAATAATAAACCAAGCCTTAACCGAGCCTAGGTCCACCTTAGCTACGACCCAATGACTATATGAAGTCCAAATATCTTATTTAGGCCCTATATGATCATATTTCCAATCCTAAATCAATTAAGAACTTCTAGAATCCTCTAGAAGGTTCTAATCTATCCTTCTCGAAAAGATAAAGATCAAAGAGTTTGAGATTGAATAAAACTTCTCTTTTGATAATCCTTATCCCGTTCAAATTCAAAGACGTTTGGATATATTTCACCATCATAATTCCATTAGAATTAAAAATTCGTACAACTTGAATATCCTTTGGAACCATTGTGCATCACTAGAACTGTCGTGCCACGTTAGTAGTGTCACGACGCGACAGAAGCCAACGTGGCGCGACAACCCCGTCACGGCGCATCAAAAGGTGTTTTATTTCCGTGCGAATTTTGATCTTTTTATGGTCTTCCAGACTCTCTTTTTTCCTTATAAGTAGAGGTCTTTTCCCCTTTCCAGATCATGGACGATAACCATCAATAAGTCACAACCATCATAATCCTTAGCTACAACCATCATCAATAACCATCATAATTCTCGAAGTTTTTTAAACACCCATGTTCTTAGCCTAAACACATCCTTGATACCTACCAAAATCAGTCACAATACCTCATTCAATAGATTCGAATACTCCAAGCTATACTCGACGTTGCCTTCAACCTCAATATGAAAGGTTGATAGTTCTGAGGGTTTGGTCCCAAATCTATATTTCAATTTATATTTGATTTATTTACCTTATTGATTTAACTTTCTTGAAGTTTACTAACGTGTGTATTATTATAATAGCAAGAAGGTTGAGGCATCAAAGTGAGTAATTCAACCACCCTTATTATTATTCTTTAAATTTGGAGTACAAATCATGTTTACAATGTTATTTTAATTTATAGTATCATGTTTAGGATAACGCTTTGATTTTGTTATTAGTGACATGCTAGGAGTTGTTATTAATCCGTTTAGTATCATGCCTTGGATCTTACTACTAACAATGTTTTGATGATGATGATTGTGATATTAATCATATGTTGCTTGATTATTATGATTTATTGCTATTGCTTGATCACGCCCCTTTTTGCAGATTTAAAGGGAATTTGTACTTGAAATCACGCCTAATAAGATAATTAATAAGATAATTAATTTGCAGATTTAAAGGGAATTTGTACTTGATTTAGGCTTAATATGATTTTAATTCAAGTGATCACCAATAATAGATTTGATTGTGCATTAATAATCGACTTACGTAGATTAAATAGGTTTAGGATTAATTTGATGTATGGATGTTGATCGAAAAGCTCGCATAAATATCAATAAGAATCAAGTAGAGGCCTATTTAAGGCGGGTTTGGCTTCTCTTAGGTCAAATTCGTACCATCATCCCCGAATATCCAGTCATGGTTCCGGACCACTATGGAGTTAGCAATCTCTGTAATTGTGAATGAGGTGTAACATTCACACTCGTGAACGGTTTATAAGTTCCTAAAACTTATTGGCGACTCTTTTTCTCTAGCTTCTTTTCCTTGGAGCGTCGTCATGCTTAGAAACATGACCCACATGTAGTGCGGTGAAAAGTTCCCTACAAATTTGGCGACTCTGCTAGGGAGGATTTCTAAATTAATTCCCAATTTGTTTG